CCTTTTTTTATCATTGGGCTCTATATTATCATTGCGCCTTATATAATCATTGGGCCCTACATAAGCATTACGCCCTAAATAATCATTGCGCCCTATATAATCATTGCGCCCTATGTTATCGTTGCGCCTTATATAATCATTGGGCCCTATAATATCATTGCGCCTTATATAATCATTGGGCCCTATATAATCATTGCGCCCTATATAATCATTGCGCCCTATGTTATTATAATCATTGCGCCCTATATTATTATAATCATTGCACCCTATGTTATTATAATCATTGCACCCTATATTATTATAATCATTGCACCCTAAAACACCACCACGACGAGGTGTATCTGTTGGTAAACGTGGTGGTGCATTGGGATCTTGTAATGGGATTTGATTATTATTATTATTATCGTAATTGATGGACGACATTTATCGTATAATAAGTTGAGAAATAAGTGGATCAAATTAGAATAATATAATTCAGATAATTTGATGCCGGATATAATTTAATGTACGTAAATCAAATAGAAACAGATCAATCTATATCCCTGCGATACAAATTAATCTGCTAGTCTCAACTCTCGCTTTTCAGCAAACGACTATTATGTCGACTATAAAAAAGATTTGATCGATGTGCTTGAATTCGAATTAATTAAATAGAAATGCAGAGTTTAATTTCGCCGACGCGTTTCGTGTTATTTTATTATGATTTTGAAACACTCTTCAGGGCTCTGCATTACAAAAAAGCACATATTGAATAAAATTAGTTTTCACCTACGTAACAAGACATTAATTCATAGAGAAAAAACTCCTACAGAAATGTTTCTTGAACAATTAAGATGACACAAAAAACTATTAGAAAATAATTAGAAAATGACAATACGAGTTACAATGTAAATTACAACACAATAAGAAAATACAATAGGATAATAATAGAAAATTGTTTTATAAAGTCAGCAATCAATATTAATAGATTTTTGATTCGGGATTGTACACCCAATTTATATTTGCAACATGGTTACATCAGCTTTCATCTAGTTGCAATTTAAATTCCATAATTTACTAATAATTTACTTGTATCATATGAATACCAACATACATTATAATGTATTATTGAATATGGTACTTCAAGGTTTCAATTAAAAATAATAATTATTTAATATTATAGCGAAAGTGTACAGTTTACATCAAGATATTTCCATATTGAATTCGTTCGCAATATTTATAATCGCCCGAATATTATATCTATCTAATTATAACCCAAAGTTACTATTTACTATTGGGATAATAAAAGAGCAGCTTTTGTTGATCTGGAATTGATGTGTTTTGAAAAATATTTCGCATCTGATTGCGATTCAACACTTGGATCCTCATCAATATATTACTTCAATTGTAGAAAATTATCTACCATAGTTAATTCATTGGATTAAATCCATAAATCCATTAATAAAGCATCTTTTAAATAACTTTCAAGTAGACATTTATATGGAAAGCATTTTTTATGGAAAGCATTTTCGCTGCTCATTAACAATCTCAAAGAGGCAGTAACATATACAACTTTCAAACTATAATAAAGAATAATACGATTGTATAATAATAATTAAAATGTTATAAATATTATTTAATATAATTTTAATGATGAAAATGTTGTAAATATCGTCTAATATAATTTCAATGATGTGGAATAAAATAATAATAATATCTTTGATAAGATATAAAATAATAATGATAGCTTTCGTAATATAACTGTATGTATTGATCAATGTATAAAGACGTAATATATAGTTAGCAACAATTTTAATTTTAAAAATATTTTGCAATATTTTGCAATCTGGATCATGACATCTTCACGACTGAATTCTGTTAGAAACAGATCCTAAATAATATAGAAGTTGAATACAATAATTTAAACAAACTTAATTTTAAAATATTTTGCAATCTGGATCATGACATCTTCACGACTGAATTCTGTTAGAAACAGATCATTTGTTAAATTCGAAGTCAATTGTGTCATTTTCGGTACTCATATTTCTATGTAATGTCTATTTCATATATTTTCTATTTCATATATTAGTCAAATAACCAGCATACAATATAGATTAATATGTTCTCATGATCTCCAAAGTGAACATCACTTTATTGAGATACATCCTCGAACTCTTCTGAGCTACTTGTCGTGGATCGTAAGAAGATATTTGATTCCA